CACAACAGGGAGGCCACAGTAAGGTCAGATACACAACAGGGAGCAACAGTAAGGTCAGACACACAACAGGGAGCCACAGTAAGGTCAGACACAACAGGGAGCCACAGTAAGGTCCACAGTAAGGTCAGACACACAACAGGGAGGCCACAGTAAGGTCAGACACACAACAGGGACAGGCCACAATAAGGTCAGACACACAACAGGGAGCCACAGTAAGGTCCACAGTAAGGTCAGACACACAACAGGGAGGCCACAGTAAGGTCAGACACACAACAGGGAGGCCACAGTAAGGTCAGATACACAACAGGGACCCCACAGTAAGGTCAGACACACAACAGGGAGCAACAGTAAGGTCCACAGTAAGGTCAGACACACAACAGGGAGACACACAACAGGGAGGCCACAGTAAGGTCAGACACACAACAGGGAGGCCACAGTAAGGTCAGATACACAACAGGGAGGCCACAGTAAGGTCAGATACACAACAGGGAGGCCACAGTAAGGTCCGACACACAACAGGGACCCCACAGTAAGGTCAGACACACAACAGGGACCCCACAGTAAGGTCAGACACACAACAGGGAGGCCACAGTAAGGTCAGATACACAACAGGGAGGCCACAGTAAGGTCAGATACACAACAGGGAGGCCACAGTAAGGTCAGACACACAACAGGGACAGCCACACAGTAAGGTCAGACACACAACAGGGAGCCACAGTAAGGTCAGATACACAACAGGAAGCCACAGTAAGGTCAGACACACAACAGGGACCCCACAGTAAGGTCAGACACACAACAGGGACCCCACAGTAAGGTCAGACACACAACAGGGAGGCCACAGTAAGGTCAGACACACAACAGGGAGGCCACAGTAAGGTCAGACACACAACAGGGAGGCCACAGTAAGGTCAGACACACAACAGGGAGCAACAGTAAGGTCAGACACACAACAGGGAGCCACAGTAAGGTCAGACACAACAGGGAGGCCACAGTAAGGTCAGACACACAACAGGGAGGCCACAGTAAGGTCAGACACTCAACAGGGAGGCCACAGTAAGGTCAGACACACAACAGGGAGCCACAGTAAGGTCAGACACACAACAGGGAGCCACAGTAAGGTCAGACACACAACAGGAGGCCACAGTAAGGTCAGACACACAACAGGGAGGCCACAGTAAGGTCAGACACACAATAGGGAGCCACAGTAAGGTCAGACACACAACAGGAGGCCACAGTAAGGTCAGACACGCAACAGGGAGCCACAGTAAGGTCAGATACACAACAGAGAACCACAGTAAGGTCAGACACACAACAGAGAACCACAGTAAGGTCAGATACACAACAGGGAGGCCACAGTGAGGTCAGATACACAACAGGGAGCCACAGTAAGGTCAGACACACAACAGGGAGCCACAGTAAGGTCAGACACACAACAGAGAACCACAGTAAGGTCAGATACACAACAGGGAGGCCACAGTAAGGTCAGACACACAACAGGGAGCCACAGTAAGGTCAGACACAACAGGGAGCCACAGTAAGGTCAGACACACAACAGGGAGGCCACAGTAAGGTCAGACACACAACAGGGAGGCCACAGTAAGGTCAAACACACAACAGGTAGCCACAGTAAGGTCAGACACACAATAGGGAGGCCACAGTAAGGTCAGACACACAACAGGGAGGCCACAGTAAGGTCAGACACACAACAGGGACCCCACAGTAAGGTCAGACACACAACAGGGAGGCCACAGTAAGGTCATACACACAACAGGGAGCCACAGTAAGGTCAGACACACAACTGGAGGCCACAGAAATGTCACACACAACAGGGAGGCCACAGAAAGGTCACACACAACAGGGAGGCCACAGTAAGGTCAGACACACAACAGGAGGCCACAGTAAGGTCAGACACACAACAGGGAGGCCACAGTAAGGTCAGACACACAACAGGGAGCCACTGTAAGGTCAGACACACAACAGGGAGGCCACAGAAAGGTCAGACACACAACAGGGAGGCCACAGAAAGGTCAGACACACAACAGGGAGCCACAGTAAGGTCAGACACACAACAGCAGACCACAGAAAGGTCAGACAAACAACAGGGAGGCCACAGTAAGGTCAGACACACAACAGGAGGCCACAGTAAGGTCAGACACACAACAGGGAGGCCACAGAAAGGTCAGACACACAACAGGGAGGCCACAGAAAGGTCAGACACACAACAGGGAGGCCACAGAAAGGTCAGACACACAACAGGGAGGCCACAGAAAGGTCAGACACACAACAGGGAGGCCACAGAAAGGTCATACACACAACAGGGAGGCCACAGAAAGGTCAGACACACAACAGGGAGGCCACAGAAAGGTCAGACACACAACAGGGAGCCACAGTAAGGTCAGACACACAACAGGGAGCCACAGTAAGGTCAGACACACAACAGGGAGCCACAGTAAGGTCAGACACACAACAGGGAGCCACAGTAAGGTCAGACACACAACAGGGAGGCCACAGTAAGGTCAGACACACAACAGGGAGGCCACAGAAAGGTCAGACACACAACAGGGAGCCACAGTAAGGTCAGACACACAACAGGGAGCCACAGTAAGGTCAGACACACAACAGGGAGCCACAGTAAGGTCAGACACACAATAGGGAGCCACAGTAAGGTCAGACACACAACAGGGAGGCCACAGTAAGGTCAGACGCACAACAGCAGGCCACAGAAAGGTCAGACACACAACAGGGAGGCCACAGTAAGGTCAGACGCACAACAGCAGGCAACAGAAAGGTCAGGTACTGCAGAACACGGTCGGGTGAAAATAGAATATAATATCGTCCACAACTGATCAACTCGGCTGTGATTCACACGTCAGGCAGCGGCGTCGAACAGCCTGATTGACCAGACCACCGACCAGGAAGCCTGGCTAGAGACCGGGCCGTGGGGGGACATTGATCCAGAACAATCAGAAGATAGACACAAGGTGAGGGACGTAGCCGTTGTTAAAGATTCGCTACTTGGAACAAACAGTTCCAAGTAGCACGGGCTATGGTGAGCCCCGTAGGTACTTGGGACGTAGCAGACTCACCAAGCTAAGGTGAAGTGCGCAATTTGCGGCTAACGATCGTCACTTGTATGTACAGGATTGTGGGGGGGGAGGGGTGGGGGGGGAGGGTGTTGTACATGCTTCCAAGGCGTTGTGTACACTCACTGGATGGGTGACGCGGCTCATGCTATCTTCAGGTTATCTTGAGATGATTTCGGGGCTTTTTAGTGTCCCCGCGGTCCGGTCCTCGACCAGGCCTCCACCCCCAGGAAGCAGCCCGTGACAGCTGACTAACACCCAGGTACCTATTTTACTGCTAGGTAACAGGGGGGGCATAGGGTGAAAGAAACTCTGCCCATTGTTTCTCGCCGACGCCTGGGATCGAACCCAGGACCACAGGATCACAAGTCCAGCGTGCTGTCCGCTCGGCCGACCGGCTAGCCCCTTAAATACGTTATACCGTTAGCGAAGCTGTTAGCCTCGTCACTGTGGTAGTTCTGTACAGGCACGCCGTTTTCTGTGGCGACATACCCGCTCAGGGGGGCCAGATTCACGAAGCAGTTACGCAAGTACTTACGAACGTGTACATCTTTCCTCAATCTTTGACGGCTTTGGTTACATTTATTAAACAGTTTACAAGCATGAAAACTTGCCAATCAACTGTTGTTATTGTTATAAACAGCCTCCTGGTGCTTCGGAGCTCATTAACTGTTTAATAATTGTAACCAAAGCCGCCAAAGATTGAGAAAAGGTGTACAGGTTCGTAAGTGCTTGCGTAACTGCTTCGTGAATCTGGCCCCAGGGTAGTACCTGCCATTTTGACCTATTAATCATCCCCTACGACCAAAAACAGATGGATTAAAAAGTCATTAATTGACGTAATATTCCGTTTTCTATTGATGGGTCTTCGATTAGGTTAAGTTCGGGTGATTTGGTATATGAAGTATATCACCCTAACTGCTTCTAACATATCTTGATATACAAGCCTGCAGGATCGACCTTTAGCTCTTGGACCCCGCCTCCTTTCCAACCGTCGTTTGCCTAATGACTTCTGATCTAGTTCCTTATGGAAACCACTTTTTAATTGATTAATAGAGCTTGCTCGATTCACGAAGCAGTTACGCAAGCACTTACGAACCTGTACATCGTTTCACAATCTTTGGCGGCTTTGTTTACAATTATTAAACAGTTAATGAGCTCCGAAGCACCAGGAGGCTGTTTATAACAATAACAACAGTTGATTGGCAAGTTTTCATGCTTGTAAACTGTTTAATAAATGTAACCAAAGCCGTCAAAGATTGAGGAAAGATGTACACGTTCGTAAGTGCTTGCGTAACTGCTTCGTGAATCTGGCCCCAGGACCTCTTGTTCTCTTGGCTTCAATTGTGAACACTTCTCCCATTTCTACATCTGTCAATCCTCTTAAGTATTTTGTATGTCTTGATCATGTGTTGAGTGATCTTGGAGTCAGGTTTGTGTGAGTACAATAGAACAGTTATCGTGGACTGGAGTGAGTACTAAAGTACTCCATGAGTGAAGAAGTAGCGAGAGTACACCCGTGCCAGGTGACCACAGTGCCAGTACTCAACCCTCGCCACACTACACACCTGCACACACACACCTGTAACTGCTCAACTATGTCTTTCAACCCCCCCCTCCCCCCCCACCCCTCGCTTGCCTAAATATAGTAGTAATCTGGAGCGGCATATCTGCCTTTAATGGTGACACATGTGGTGCCCCCGACACCCCTTCTCCCCCCCCCCACCACACACACCTGAGATACTCACATCACCCCCCCCCCCCAGCCCTCAATATGGCACGCAGGCTATTCGCTGGAAGGCACTGCTCAATAGCAGTGCCACCATGCTCCTAACCCCTCTATCGGGTGTGGTGCCACGGGTGGCGGCTGCTGCTGCGTACGACTGCCAGCCCTGAGAGAGAGAGTGCCAGGCCTGA